AAAAAAAAAAAAAACTACACAAAATGCAATTTATTAATACGAATACTACTGTTACTCGTAATGCTACACTATAATATGAGTCTGACTTTTGATTTTATAATAAAAATGTACAAGAACTTCTGCAGCAACCCAATTTTTCATCTCATAATAAAATTCCTAATAAAAGAGTTTGATATTTTCTAAAAATTTAGAAGCAAGCGTTTGAGATACAACCAGATGAATTTACATTTTCGATAAATTTTCATTCAAACAAGTTAACACGACAATGGAAATGTGTGACAAAAAAAAAATAAACGAAACTTACCCCACACAGCTATCAAATGCAGCATGAAACATTATTAATTGTAAATCTATTATAATCTCAAAAGAATGTTTTCAAGATAAATGAACAGTCGTGATCGTAATTTTCAACTGATCGTATATTTATATCTATTTGCACTACATGCTAGGAGAATTAGTATGCCATGAAAGTTAGAATTACAGAGACAGTCTGAAAGCAAATTTACATGTTTTATACGATGTAATACCATTAACGTTGCATTCCGAACTGTTGAAACATGAAAATTTATCATTAGTTAGCGTATGCACTTCAAACTTTGAATTCGTAAAGGGCTTGCGATCGAATCAAGTTTTTAGTATGCGTTCATTTTGATTATTAATTATTAATGCGAATTTGTAAATTGAAAAAATTGAAAAACTCTCAAATCAACATCTGTTTAATATTTAAAAGTTAAAAAATATCTCAGAGATTATTGTTTTCTTTATCACGATGAAATGTTAGATATTTGTTTTTTCTTTTTCTTTTATATATATATTGTAAAAAAATATATTCCCTCCCGATATTTGTTACTAAAAGTTTGCAAGTAAATGCAACGTGTATTTTTGATGTTACACATATACAAAAGCTACATTTCATTCAAGTGAATTTCTATTTATTCATTTTATTGGACACATTTCATCAATCTATTAATGTGATTATTTTATAACTCAATCTTTCCTGAAATAGGTTCAAATCTTTTTCTGATTATTTTATGAAATCATCATTCGTTATTATCAAGTATTTTTATCAATTATTGCATATCGATGATACTAAAAACAAGAAGAGGATTCGGTCACAAACCCTAATACAAGAAAATATATTTAATGTGTCGAACACGGTTATGCTAGTTTACATTCGTAGGTATTTAAAAATGAATCGAAATAGAGTAGCATGAAACGAAAGTAAAAGCAGAAGATTCTATCTATCATTTTCGCATGCAAAAGTAAATAGAGAGAAATGTTAGAATCGAATGATCAAACAAGTGACCCTAATGTAGAAGAGATGCACGAATATAAGGGCGTTTAATGCAGAAATGAGCAAATATCCCAATATTAAGTCACAGAAACTGACCGACTCTACCTTCCCGATCCTGAAGCTGTCTCACATGGAATCATCGGAGAAGGGTAATGACCAGAGCAGCAAGAACAACACGTTATTTATGACAAATTTCGTGACGTCACATGTGAAAAATATACTTATGATATTTGCAAACGCTGTAGATTTAGACACGTATGTGTGTATACCTAACTTCTCTATGTGTAAATAACGTTTGTAATTGCATGTGTATTCTTTACTGTGTGGTACAAGTAGGATTAAAATGTTTCCTTCATACAAAAATAAGCAAAATATTAATATGTATAGAAATTTATGTATTTGTATGCATATTAACGAAGTTTATATATTTAAGCTGAATATTTAAACGATTAATATTAGTGTTGTCATGTACTAATACTGTAAGATAGATCATAGTTGATCGAGTTAATAAATTCTTTTATTTTTTTTTTCTCACTCCTTTTCTTCCTGTCTAAATTAATAATCAGGATAGCGAAGTCTTGAACAAAAATATTTTAGTTTGAGTTTTGAATATATTCTCCAGTTGTACCATAATTGTTGTGTTTTATGTCGATTTCTCTCACTTGCTATATTATTGTATATATTATATTTTTATATTTTATATAAAAAAGATGTATAACGTATGGATTATGCCATTCAAAATATTTAATAATTTACAGTATTGTAAAATATTGTGTGTGTATGTGTGTGTTGTATTATATATACACAATTTGTATTTAATTATTATCAAATAAACTCTGTTTTATTACTTATTATGTTTATTAAATTCCTTAATTTAATATGGCATTTGAAATATATCCTTTATATAAATATTTATGTGATGATAAGAGATGGTCTACTATCCTATATTTTATGAATTTATTTTTAAAACCATCTCAACCTTAATATAATTTAATATTGTATTATTTAATTAGTGTATTCTAAACGAAGAAACATCGGAAAAATCCTTAGAATATATTACAGAGTTATTTTGTACCAATTTAGCAGAAAATATAAATTACTATAGTTATCACAAATACATATTACTACATTACAACTATTGCTATATTATATTACTATAATTACTATGAACCATTTTTATAATTATACTTCGTATTTTATTTCATTTTATTTGTAATCTCCTCTCATTTATCGTAAGAAACACGTCATTTTGAAGATATTTCCTAAGGTTTGTCCGACGTATTCATTTTCTTTCAAAAATAAAATAGACTTCCCAACCAAAATGAGAAGGAAAAAAAAAATCTCACCTAACTAGAGATCCCATAACATCTTCCTGTGGGAGTGTTTGCAGAAGTGATGGCCCTGCTGACACTGGACGTGTCTATATCCACAATCAAACAAACAATAAATAAATAAATAAATAAATAATATAACAATAAACAATATAACAAATAGTAAAATAATAGTATTTTTTTTTGTTAAAATAGTATTTTTTTTTGTTAAAATAGTATTGATAATTGAGAAAACTATAAATATATTGTATATAGTATTATTTGTAATGTTAATGTTATTTTGAAAAGTATAATAACAAAATAATAACAATAATAATATAAATATGTAATATCTATATAATTCTATCTAATAGATAATATCTATAATTCTATCTATAGAATATTATAGAATATTATCTATAGAATATTATCTAATAGATAATATATATAATTCTATCTAAGATAATATTTAGATAATATCTAATAATGTGGTATGATATGGTTGAAAATATTTGGACATATTCAATCAACAATTTTACGACGTTTATATGTATTTGTGCTCGTAATAAATTGAAAGTCGAAATTGTATATACGTGTGAAGACGTTTATCCTTTCGTTCCCACGGTAGCAATATGGCTATGTATTTAGAATTAAGAAGTGAAATTACCTTCATCAGAAATCAATCATAGAATTCTAGACAAAGAACTCAATTGCATTTCACGTAAAATTGAAAGTCACAATGAAGAAACAATGATGAATCATACTTCTCGTATTTCGTGAGAGAGCAATTTTAAAAAATGCATATATTTTTATGTGTTATTTATGTAATTTTTTAGTTACTCGAACATTTCAAAGATATTGATTGTCTTAGGATTAATTATGACCTTATGGATATATTTGTCGATTATTTTTAAATCATTTATCATCCATAATTTATCTTTATTTTTACAGATATATTTTTATTTCATCAGATATAAATTTTATATGGATCTAGCTCTAACAAGCTCTAACATAAAAATTCATTTGTAGACATATTGTTACGTAGACAACCGTAAAGAATTCGATTGTTTATCGTAAAATAGGCAAAAATTAGTTTGGAAAAGAAAGGATTAAATGTGTATAGTACGAATAATATTGTATAAATATAGTACAAATTATGTATCATGTATGGTATATAGATTATGTAAGATGAGTGATATCATGAGATCCGGAAGAACATGTTGATATTTCAATCAGCTTTGACTAAAATTGTATATTTTATAATTTTACTGAAAAATTTACAACTTTCGAAAGTTTGAAAAATAGAGTAAATGATTCTTGGAACAGACTGACAACCTCTTGTATAATTAAATGCAAGATTTCAATATTGAATTGTGTATTATAAGAAATTACTAAAATTATATATAACGAATACTACAACAAATTTCTGGAATTTCCTAAATAAAATTGTCATTAACCAAGTGAATTTAGTATAAGTTTTAGCAAATAAATAACACGATTTTCTATAAATACTGCTGTGAATAATGTTAAGTGAAATTACGCAATTTAAAAGTAATTATACTTTTACTAAAAAACAATTTATAACTAACGTGAATTATAAATTATAAAACGTATATGTACTATTATGAAACGTTCAACTAATGTGCACAATAAAAATCATTTTGCAAAACTTTGCCATTTGTGCCATTTTTGAAGAGAAAATCCCTCTTCAACGTTGCTATGTGTGCTTTTGACACGTGAAGCAAAAAAATATTGATTCTTCGATTGTTGAAATATTTCGAGTGTAACTCTTTGATGGCGGGCAAAGGAGTCTAAATGGGAATTATTCGTTTACAGAAAAGCATTTATAATATTACACGTTTAAAGCATAGACGTAGAATTTGGTAGATTTTAATTCGTGAAAATTGAATAAGATATGTCTCGTCCGATTGTACTTCAAAATATCATACATTACTCTTTTTTTTAAATAACTTATATTATCTGAATGGAATTTGATTTATACTCGTTTGCTCGCCGGATCAGACAGGATCGAGAAATGTGAAAATTGATGAGTTGCACGATAACATTGTAACACTAGATTTTTCGTACCATAAATAATATCTTATCAAAGATAGTCAATTGTAAACGTACCTTCTCTGTTTGCGTAGTAGCGTTGCAAGTATTTGAGGAAAAAAGGTTTTTGTAATTACTGGTTAAAGCACATGTTTGGCCGTCACTATTAGGTCCTTGAAGTTTTGATATTTGGAACTGCAATATTTAATATAATTTCATGATTATTATATAAAATAATATTATTGTAAGATACAAGATAGAAAATATAAAAATTTTAATTAGTTTCAATAAAGGCTAATTAGTATCAATAAAATTTAATAATTTGGGATTCAGAAGTATAATTCATTTTTTATAGAAGATACAAATGTAGATTACATAGGTATCACTTCTTTTTAAGGTTTTTTAAATTCAACATTAAATTTAACATAATTATATAAATCAAACTAAAATAATCTTGTATAAATAATATTTTTATATGAATACTATTTAGGTGGACGAAAGAAATTCCTGTTACAACTCTATCTCTTCAATTATATTCACAAAGATCTGAATTTTACTTTATTATAATAAATATTACCTTATTATGATAAATTTATTTTATTATAATAAGGTAATAAATTTCACCAATTTTCATAAAAAAGTAACTAATATTTAATCACTTACAATTTGAATATTAATAATAACATGAGCATTTAAATATTTCTTGCCTTCATTCTTCTTTTTTACAAAAAGGTATCTCTAAAATTTAGATTCCTTACCTGTAATACTTGAATAGTTCGATCTCTATCCTCTACTTGGCCTTGTAAAAAGACAACCTGCCTACGTAAATCAGCCAATTCATCGACGATATTACTGCCACCAGTACCTGGAGATGTACTAACATCCGCGGTACCACTGTCGTTGCAGAAGAGACCATTCTAAAATTTGTAAAATTTGCACATGTTACATTATATTAGTAACGCTATTCTCGATTGTACTTGATAGTTTTCAAACAAAGTGTACGGAGCAGATTATAAATATTTTTCGATAGAATAGTGTTTAGTAAATTAAAAAAGCTAATGACAAAATTTAGAAGATTCAGATAGTTTCTCCTCTATATTTTTAAAGTTTCCAGAGACTCAGAACAGAAGTGGACAGAATCATATTTTTCTAAATTTTAAATTAAAAAGACTATGATGAAATGATGAAATTCAGGAGACTTTAAGTTCAGTAAATTTTTTTTTTTTTTTGAATTATTTCTATTCCTCTTTTAAATTTAAAGAATTGTTTATTGAATATTAGAATCAACACACTTTTGATCTCACTGATATCTGTATCTTTTATTTATGAATATCATGAAACTATATTCGATTAACAATATCGTTTCATAAATAAAATTTCTCAAGAGATTTGAATTACTGTCCCAAAAAATCTCGAATAAATATACGTAAATATTTATTAAAAATTAAACTAACCTTCACAGTATTATCGAATGGGTTGAGAGTTTCTGCCTGTGAACATAATGCAAAACGTATTGTATGCTTTCAACATTCAACATTTTATAACCATAAAACTGTAGTAAAAATAATATGTACGTGGACGATATAATAAACATATAAAGAATAATAAAATAATATCAAATACAATTATAAAAAAAATTATAACAATAACGTAGGAAATAATATAAAAGAAAAAGAAACATTAAAATAATGTGTGCAGTAAAGAAAACAACGTACCCTCGTCAAACTGTTCTCTTCTGACTTGAAGATAAAATCATGGTTGATGATTGAGAATAATGAAAAAAATGAAAAAATGCGTGTTAATATAAAAGCACATCGATATCATGTATGTACATAACTTAAATGAAAAGAGTGTGTTTTATTATTAAGAAAAAAATAAAATGAGAAGAACAGAAACAAGCTATATCGATTGCTTGAACATGCTTATTCAATATACCTCTTGAAGTACTCGTTTCAGTTTCAGAAGCATCGTTTTTATTGAAACAATGTCTTGAAACATGTGTTGATAGGTATCACGATCAAGTCGGAGACTTCCTTCATCTCCAGAGTCGAGACTCGGTGACTGGATCTGAAATGAAATATTATAGAGGTTTATTACTTACTTGTTTACATACCTTTTTCGCTTTTTGTTATTATTAACCATAAGTAAAATTTGTTATTAAACATATATGTAAGATAGTGCTAAATTGTTACTAAAATTATTACTATGAATTATATATATATAGTAGAAAATTATTAATTAGTTAGAATATTAATTGTTCTTATTTTACAATAATTTACATAATATATATTAATTGTTCTTAGAATATAGAATATTAATTTTCTACTTTAAATTTTCTGTTTCAGATTAATTTTCTGAAAAACGTTCCTTTTCAATAAACTGCAAAACATACTGTGTGTATGTGATACATTACATTTGAAAAGGAATTGATATCGACAAATTAAATCCTCTAATTTCAGATAAATATGCAAGAAAAAAAAAATCAGATAATAATCACACGATACACGAAGAATTTAAAATTTTAAAAATTTAATTAAAAAGTGACTTACATTTCTTGATATCCTTAAAGGACTGGAAAACTGACGACTACGTGTACTATCTACGGAACGTGGTGAATCAGTCACGGATCTACTTCGCCATACCTTTGTCGTTTTATCACAATCGTTTCTGGAACAAAAATGCACACATGAAAAGATTAAAATTTAATACCTACAGATTTTACAGATTTTTTTTTTTTTTTTTATATAGTATCAAATAAGATTAGTATTCCTTCTTCTTTTAACGAAGAATTCGAAGCGTACGTTGTTTAGCAAATATATCTTATATCTTCCTCTTATAAAAAAAGTTAAGGAATATATGTTAATTGCCTAATTTAGAGTTAAAATTCCAAATGAATAGGATATGATACGTTTGTTAAATAAATAATTAAATCGTATCGTTCGTTTATTGATTAACAGTTAAATTTTTATGATATGGGTGTAGGAAGAAGAAGTCTTTTCTTTACAATCCCTTAAAATTTGTTGTAAGATTTTTTTTCACGAAGCAATACAAATTTCAACAAAAGTATCGACAATTTTTCATTAAGAGTATGAGCTACTTTCTGCTGTAGTAAATGATATTATTAAGCATGTACTTATGTATAATAACGATACAGAATTGACATAATAATTATATTTGAAGCAATGATAATCATGAAAATGTCTCGGTTAGCCGTACGTGTACATATATATATATATATACATATATGTCAAGCACAATTCTTTCCAATTTTTCTTCAACTTAAAAAATTATCGAACATTACTTTAAATTAAAAACAATGAAATATGAAATACGATTCGGTTGAAAGTAACTTGAGAAACGCAGCAGTGATAAATACTAATTATTCTACTGTTACTAGAATAATTTTAGCTAAATTTAAAAATTCCCTAAAAATAATATTAATCCATATTGAATTCCAACCAACGTATCGTGATCGATCGACTAACGAAAACTTTCATATAAATGAGCAACCAGTGATTGTTCTATGAAACGAAGCTACCTTCCGGTCTGACTCGTGACACGTGATTTCACCGAAGAGGTGGCGATATTAATCGGATTGCTCGTAGCTTTTCGTTGCCTCGGTATCGGCGATCCCACTGTTGGCGTCGAAGACTCGGAAGACAAGCCAGAATCACGACCATCTTCGCCGTTTCGACTCGAAGCGAGACCAGCTTCGTCTTCAACTTCCGCATTTCCACTCGTGAGGTCCGCTCGAAGTCTTCCGGTTAAGACTGTTCGCTTCTTCGCACCTCTCGATACCTCGGACGCCGACGAAGCCATTATACTCGACCAACCACTTTACACGATAGTTCAAACTGTTGTTTCCCATCGGTTTTCTCTTTTTACTTATTTTTTTTTTTTTTTTTTTTTTTTTATTACTTTTAAGACGGTATTACGGGACGGATTATTTTATTAACACTTTGTGCAGACTTTTAGAAACTTAGCAAGCAAAATTTATAAAAATGATATTAAAAATTCTCTACGAGCTATATATAATAATTTTTCGTGACTTTGCCTTTTTTTCGAGATACGAATGTTATCTTCAAATTTTTTTTTTTTTTTTTTTT